GGTTGCAGCCAGGGGTCATTTTCAAAACCATGATTGGTTTTGGGGTCGTTTTCAGATAAGGGAGTATTACCTGGACCGGTAAAAAGGTTTCAGGTGTATTGATATTATTGTATCAAGTTTATTGATTGTTGCTAGTGTATCAAGTGTAATGGAGATGTCAGCCTCTGCAGATCTCAAACTGGGCCTGTAGGTATTTCTTCTAATGCACAGGTACCTCCTTCCACTATCATCCCACTCCCAAATGGCTGACGCACACTTAACAGGCACATAATCACCCCACCCTCATTAAAGGTTGAAGGTAAAAGGTGCCAACAGATGCTGCAAAGAAACCATACAATGAGCTGAAAAAATGGAATTTATGCTGATTTTGCAATATTTGGGTTTGATGATTTTACATCCTGCCTTATGGAAGAGGTTAAATGTCAATGCTATCTGGGAGCTTTGGTTCCCTGTATGGGAGTCCCAGTTCTGATGTGATTAACACGTAATTGTGCCTTTAATTATCGGTGCATAAATTTTTGCCAGCGCCCAAGCAGTGACTGTGTTTCACTTAATTGGAATTGATTGCTTTTTTTTGTATCTTATACTCTAATACCTTAAACTTTTATACTCTGAGGGAGACCAATTTCTATAAGCCTTATGGTTTCTTTTTAGGCTTCCTCGCCACAATGCTACTGTGTATTTTCTGTATTTTTGTCTTTTGTTTTTTTTCTGTGGTTAAATAAAGAAACTAAACTATACTAAACTAAACTAAATCTTAGGGGGTAGACCTCAGGCAATATTCAAGACAGATCGAAGGAGAATTGCATGAAGTGGAGAATGCTTCAATCCTGGACTGTATCCTTTTCATTAGTTTTCACTTGTAATGGGGTGTATTTTCATATGTAGCCTGCAGAAAAGGCATTGTTTTTCTCAAGATCTTCAGAACAAGGGATAGAGAATGGTTTCTCAAAATTGTGGGTCTTAGAAAATTTTGGCCCAATCTCGAAATCTCAGAAGCATTTGTGATAGGTCTGGAAGTCTCGTCTTCAGCTGATTTTGCATCTCGGAGTCTTGAATTTTTCCCACAAAGTCTCAAATTTAGCCTTCTGTACTGCTAGAAGAGGTAACGCATGCAAAAGGCAGGAAGGAAGGTATTAAAAACATGTCTGATAGGGAAGGCACCCCTTCTTTTGCACATGATTGTCACTCACTCTATGCCCCCTTTCAAGCCTTGTTAGCCTTGCCTTTTTGTATAGTGATGTTGTATTTCTCCCAAGTTTAACTTAACCTGTGTTGCTTAAAGACATCAAGGAAAGTGAAAATATTGCAAGCCTTCACAACCAGATTGCTTCATGTGATACTATTCTTGAGGTAATGTAAGTTAATTTTGAGTAGCAAAATAGGCCAGTCTCAAATTTTTAAAATTCATACTTAGCATCAAGGTTTAGGGGTATAAAACAAAAGAGGAAACAATAAAATTCAGTGATAGTTTATTTCTTTTGTTTTATTCCCCTCATCCTCAGAGCCAAGTATGAATTTTGATATAATGTCTGAAACTAGCCTATAGAGTGTTTTCAGTCACATGGCCAGCATGCAGCTATGCAAAATTTAGTTTATTGCTACAAAAGAAAGCATTTACGTAAGAAATTAGTTCAGCTCCCATAGGACTGGTTTGGGACACCAACATGGTGGACATGACGTCATCTGATAAAGCTCTTTTAGACCTCAAATTTTGCAGTGTGTGATGGTAAAAGCCTGTGCCATACTTGTAGTTACAGATTTCAGTGACGTTGATTCATGTCTGTACATGCACATAGTAGAACATGCATGTACATGTCTGTATAAATACCCTACATCACAAGTACAGTTGATATAGAATGCTCAATTGATTTATTTCAATTAATACTCACAATTAAAGACTGAGTTTTTCAGCTTGGGTTATTAGTCTTACTAGCCTCATTTAAGAATGAATATTTTTTAAAATTTTCCACATAAGCTAAAATTGATATGAAATGATTATTTGTTTATGTTACCAGACAAATATTAACCCATTCGCCCCTGAACCGCCCGTAACCGCCCGTGCGGATCCAGGTCTTTTCTACCCATTGTGACGTCATCAGTTTTAACGGTCAAGGACAACTTTCTTCACTAACTTGTGCAGAGTGAAGAGATCTTTCAAACCATACCAGAATGAGCACAATTCAGTCAAGGACACCGGAGAAACAAGCAAAAAACCACGTGACATTGACCTGAAAATCTCCATGAAAATCTTGTCCCATTACCCACCTACCTTTCCTTTCGCCTAATCCTAAGATCCTAAAAGCTTTCCTAAAAACTCTTCCCACCAAAATCAAGCCTACTAAATGCCCAGCAAGAGAAAAAAAAAATGAGGCAAGAAAAGCAAAAAAAGAAGGGAGGAGAGAAAGCGAAAAGTAAAAGTCAAGACTGCTGTGTCACTTTTAAACCCAAAAACTATGTCGAAATTTTGCTTTCTGCGCATGCCCGAACTTCGCAAGCTGATATTTTGCATCTGGATCGGAAGACCGCGAAGTGTTCGACCTGTAAACCAGTTTGTGGTAAGTTTTAGCTCTTTATAGCACGACAGTGACCAGAAAACCACTCGACTAGCTTCAAAACGCGTTTTTCGGCAAAATCTCTAGGAGCGAATGGGTTAAGCAAAGGACCAAGCTTTTTGAAAAAAATCCACTTTTCAGCATAAAACAACCAAATCTGTCTATTTCATGTCAAATCAGGTGAAAAAGTTGGTAAAAGGCCATTTTTAGGTTTTTTGATTAACCCATTCGCCCCTGAACCGCCCGTAACCGCCCGTGCGGATCCAGGTCCTTTCTACCCATTGTGACGTCATCAGTTTTAACGGTCAAGGACAACTTTCTTCACTAACTTGTGCAGAGTGAAGAGATCTTTCAAACCATACCAGAATGAGCACAATTCAGTCAAGGACACCGGAGAAACAAGCAAAAAACCACGTGACATTGACCTGAAAATCTCCATGAAAATCTTGTCCCATTACCCACCTACCTTTCCTTTCGCCTAATCCTAAGATCCTAAAAGCTTTCCTAAAAACTCTTCCCACCAAAATCAAGCCTACTAAATGCCCAGCAAGAGAAAAAAAAAATGAGGCAAGAAAAGCAAAAAAAGAAGGGAGGAGAGAAAGCGAAAAGTAAAAGTCAAGACTGCTGTGTCACTTTTAAACCCAAAAACTA